GAAACTCCTGACCAAGAAAGTTATCCATCATGGCAACTTCCATAACACACGGGCCAGGCGTGATGAGACTCTGGCATGCTCTACATAAAGGCCTTCCAAAGCCTCTCCAACGTCGCAATCTTCACAATCCAGTTCGATGGGTTGTAGACCGAGAAAGACTGAGCAGAGACCACAAAAATTTAGCTTCCGCCGTGCGCCTCACGAAAATGGTCTGCGTTTGTGACGAGCACTGAGGTACCGACGGCCAGTTCAAACGGGATGCTCGGCAAGTACAGGAGAAAACACAAAGTAGCGATCAAGACCTCGAACGGCCGTCAGAAACTCGTATCATCTGCAAGTCCGTGCACATGTACGAGAGGGAGATTGCTTTCTAAGTTCTCGGCACAAACACTTCCAAATGAAATGATCTCTGCCTTATCCACGGCATCCTCTACCTGTGCAATAGCAACGCGTTTTGCCACCTGCGGCCATGTCTGTGAGGTCGGGTTTTTGTACACCAGCACACATGCCGCCGCCCTGTCTGAGACTCCTTCCAGATGATTGGCCACGGACCAGCGCTCTGTTTGATGCAAACCTTAACTTTGGCCAGAAGTCCCCAGCACCAGTCGGTATGTGTTTCTTGCGTGCAGTGGCAACTCCCCAATGCTAGTCTAGCCACTGGGGTGCGAAAATCATGTGAGCAGAGTTTTCTTGAAGGAGGCCAAGGGCGCAAGTCTCGGCACTAGGTTTAGAAAATCTATGTAGAATCTATGAAACCTGAGCTCGCTGACCTCTACAGTCTCTACAGTGCGCAGGAGCCGAAACCTCTGTTCCGTAGCAACGTGGACTTAGCATAGCCAGACTTGGGTTTTTGTGGCACTTTTGGCTTGTAGCATCAAGGCCCACTCGGGCTTGGCCATCCGTTGCTTTGGCCTTGCCTGGGTTCGTTTTAGTTCTGAAGGGGTATTGCTCCTGCAAAGCGACGCTTCATGGAACCCTTCTGCCCTTCTGCAAGGCACCCGGAGCAAACGTATGCGCCCGTATGCGTTGTGTGGCTTGAGCAGGTCCGAGAGCCCTGCATGGCTCCAGTTCAGCCTGTGATGCGGGCACCTCATGGGGACGTCCAAACTACAGCGTGAGTTTGTGTCTCTGCCAACACTGGGCGCTGGACCCACAGTGCCACGCCTGCCATCTGGAATGCTGCGGCCCAGGCCACCTGGGTTCTCAAGAAAACAACAAACTCTCAGCACGACTTGTTGCCGTGAGCTCTGCGCTAGCGCTGCGCTAGCGCTGCGCTAGCTGTGCCGTCACGGGAGCCACTTGGCTCCGCACCCTCCAAAAGTTTATCTGTCCGATGTTATACCTGCAGCACTCATTGCCAGCGCAGCCCAGCACAATGCCCGCCGTTGCAACATCAAGAGGGACTGGGGCTCGCACGAAGATCGATCCATTAGCCTCTTCACAAGATCACCTTACAGATTTGGCTAGGTGCAGAAGCGAGAAGCGCGGCACGATGAAGCAACTGGGAACCCAGCGCATGTCTCCAGCCAAAGCTCTGAGCGCATCTGCATCTGCCTTCCCGACCAAGAACTGCACAACAACAGGTGTAACTGTTACGGTGTGTTGGATGAACGTGCACACTCGTCGCCAGATGAGTCGGCCTGGCCTGGTCTATCGACTCCACCTCGGCATTACTATGCCGTACAAACCCGGTGGCTGACATCCTGCTGGTTTTAGTTCGCACTTCAAGGGCAGCGTTTCTACGTTCCGTCGAATGTTGGGGCGATGCTTGTGCGATGCTGCGCACCCCCTGCGCACGTCAGCCGTCTGGCATGCTCAGACGTGCGCTCATGGACAAGGGCCACGTCGGCTTTATTTGGTCACGGCCCGCACACTCACGAACAACAATAGTTGACGAAATTAGAGGCCCAGGGCAGCACAGTCTCCATCAATGGCGTCGCTTCTGCAGACTGACCTGAGCCGCCCCAAGCTTTGAAGACTTCCGCGTAAGCTCCAAACACCCCCTGTGATTACCAGCCCAAAAGCATGCAAGCATCACGGCAACTTGGGGCGGTCCATCCACAGCTTGTCAAATGAGAGATGGATATACACACAAACATTCCACTGCAAATTATTAGGCTGTCACTCACCATCGTGGAAGATGCTGGCGTTGTTGACATAGTCTGCAGCCTGCAACTTTCCATGTAAGTGTGCACAGCTGCACACAGTACGCATGAGCAGCGTGCCTTTCTTTCGCTGTCTGGCGCGAGTGATAACGCAAGTTCACGGCCTTGGAACTCAAACCATTTTGTATAACCACATCAGGAAGCAGAAATTTACCGCGATGCAACAGGTTAGTCGGTTAGTCAACCCGCTGGTCCAAACCTCTGTCACATCAGAGAGGGAAGATCAGCACAACTCCCACGTATCAGTGAGCATCTTACTGTGTTGACCGTTTGAGTGGGAAAGAAGGGCGACGCCGTCCCAAAGGCTCAAATTCAATCAGAAAGTACCAGACCGCTGTTGGCGACCTTCCATGTGCACAAAATGATTCTGTTTTATTCAATTTTTCTTTGTGAGCTCTGAGCGAGTTCCGGTTGTTCTCCTCGCTTGCATGGCTGGGCTGCCACAACATCGGCTTGCGTGCTCAAGTAAACAAGGACTCTACTGGAGCGATAAAGCTACAAGGCTTGGAGGACCAATATGGCAGGATTATGTCTTGGGAGTATGCAAGGAGTGGCATTATGGCAGGTTTATTTCGTAGGGACATGTGGAAATGCATGCATATGCATGTAAAACACCGGTCAACTTATGAAGCACACTGCGAGCTGAGACTCCCCTTTTCTCGCTATGTCCAAGTGAAGTGTTGGCCTTCTTCGCCGAGTGCTAGCGGATCGCTTCAGGCCCACACCGAGACGAGCGACCCGAGCCCCTTAGAGGCGAGCCCGGGAAAACCGAGCCCGGAGTGGTTGCCGGCACCCGGACGTGTCAAGAGCCTCTTTCGTGAGATGGTGACTGGGAAGCACATGAGCTGAGGCTCGGCAAATTCAAGGACCGAAGGGCGGGCTCCGGTGGCTTTCAGCACGGCTTGATCCTGGCTAGTCTGTTCGGCACGAGCGCATGCCCTGGTTCGACCTTGCACATCGCCTGGAAAGCTCGAGGAAAGCCAGCGAGGACGTGGGGTTTGTGTGTGCCAGGGCAACGGATGCCCAGTGTCACCCCTCCCAATACTCTTCATCTGCGTTGTCCAACTGCTTTCCATTGTTCAACCGGCACATGTTATCATGACGGTCCAAAGCAAAATCCAGAGAACAAGGATATCCGGTCGACCACCCCTTGTTTTGCCTCCTCGTTGCGCGGCATCATGTAACCCTGCACAATCCCGTACAACATGCTCTCTACAAAGCCTTACACTACGACGACATCTAACTACAAAGAAATGTCGCGGACTTTCCACTCCTTTTCCACTCCTCAGCATGATTATAACTCACTGGTCATCAGCCAACAGAATGCAAACCGTGCCAGCATGTAATCTGACACAGCAGTGATGGTCGATGCCTGGGCTCGGATGGTCTGCTCTGGGTGCAGCTTTGTGGGTGGGAGTCTGTTCAAAGGCAGGCACTTCGTTTGAGAAAAATGGCTGCCATGGCTCTCGTTCCATCTGATTCCCGGCCTGCACCCACTCACTACTAACGAAACTTGACAACATGTCATCTCGCAAGCACGGATGGTCTCGCATGGCATATGACCCGAGGCCAAGGGATGCATGCGCAGCACTGCCACTAGCTGAGCTCAGACTGTCGTAATCAGAAGGCCAGATAAAAGGAGGACTGCAACAAGACACGAAGCACCTGAAGCAAGGCCTTGTCGCGACCAAAACGGCTGCAAAATGCTAAAGCTCGAGGCCCGAGGAAGTGACCACATCGTCTGCATGATCTTTCAGCTCAGAGACCTTTCGTGAACAACGCGTGTCTAGCCTTTCTGCTGACAAGGCCCAAGCCAACGTGGGTCAACGTGCTGCATCACTAGCTGGAGCTTGGCTGAAATGGCTGGTTGAGTTCTGTCACTACGGCGCAACGTGAGTTTGGATGTGCACTGGTTGCCGGGTGCATACACAAGGTGAAAGATAAGAGTGCGCGTGCTCGGCTTCCTCTGGATCGTTCCGCGAGTTGTGGGAGTCTAGACATGACTCCGGTCAAACACAGACCGCGCCCAAGCTTGGACAGCGTCGTGTTCGCGTCTAAGGAGCCAAGTTGCGTTGTACACAACCAGCTAGCTTCACTCAATTTTCACTTCGGCCAGATTGTACTGGCTTACGACCGCCTCTGAAAGCTCTCCAGTCGGTGCCGCGGCATCTGAGCTGTGGGCGGAACCGCTCCACACCCAGGGCTTGCTGATGCCTCAAATCATCCGAGTCATCCGATGTCCAGCGCCGATGGCGTGTGTTCGCCAAGCTCGGCTCCAAAACTACGGAAGCTGGTGGCCCGCCCCAAGTCAGTCATTGCTGGGGCGGGCACGCAAGAAGACATCCTTGGCGGGGTGCAGCGCTCACTCACAAATACACAGCCCGAAATACAAAGTCAAGAAGACGGTATCCCGGCATCCGCCGTCATGTCTCCCAAGAAGGCTCGAACGGATTTGGGTGCAAGCACGTCCACTCAGACCCCCGCCATGCCAAAAAAACCTTTGGCGGGAAAATCTTGCACAGCCCGCAGCTTGAAGAGTTCGCCTGAGCTTCAGTACAGCTCACCATGAGGAATCTTACAGTGTTGTCATGTGCTTTCTGTCTGCAGTAGCGCCGATCGTGCTGCGGGTGGCTCCCCCTGTCTAGAACGTGATAGAGCAAGCCAGATTGACAGCACGTGTTCCCTTCCATCCAACACTTCTTGACGTGCGCATGCATCAAATCTTGCGGGATGTGTTTACATCCTGAGTCAAGGAGCCACTGCGTCGGGAAAACAGTCTGTACACACGCCTTCCAAGGCAAAGCTTGATGCGAAAGATGCCATCTGTACAACTGCCTAGTCGATGACAACCGTTGGCAGATGGAACAGATGACCCGAGCGTCTGCGGCACTTCCTAACCTGGCAGCGGCCAAGATGCATCCAGTACGGTTGGGACCGCTATGAAAGGCCGCCCGTGAGCGACGCATAGCTGTGGAACACAGGCGGCCTGCTCGACTTCCTTCTGCATCGAAAGAGACAGCACCATCTCTACGTCGTCCTGAGAGGCTTGACAGTGTTGAACCACGTCTCGTCAGGTACTGTTAAGGCGGAACGTGGCATCCTCCAGCACCTCATCAACTTCTTGGCATTCCTCCTCTCCTTCCTCTCCGGCCTTTTGCGCGGACGGAGGGGATTGCACAAATAAAGCTCAAGAAGTGAGAAGCTCTTCGCGAAGCCATGCCTCTTGCTGACCCTGGTGAGAGCTCTCGGCTTCAGCTTCTTCGACCTCTTCTTGGGCTTCTTCTTCCACCTCCGACAAATCACAAGATGATGAACATCGATGAACTTCCTCCTGTGCTCCCAGGAGCGCCTCCTCACCCAACGCCTCCTCCGATGCTTCCTCGGCCGCACCAGTTTCGAGCTCCTGGCTCTGAGCCTGCGGAAAGCCCAGGAAGCAAAGCGCAGCGAAAAGGCGAAAGCCTCCTTGCAGGCTCTTTGAGCTCCGGGCAGAACCCGCGTCCTCGACCTCCGCGCGTTGACCATCGTCGCTTGCCTGTGCTTGACAACTGACTAACACCAAAGCCTTTTCGCACAGCAGGTGCAGCAAGCACCTGAAGATCTGAATGCATGATTCGGCCCCCTCAACAACACAAGTCGACATCGCGAGGTGGCTAAAGTGGCACAAGCGCCGGCTCAATGATTTGACGCTCTTGCCAAAACAGCACTGCAAATTGCATTGAGTTCGCTTTGACGTGCTCACCACTGTTTCCAGTTCGTAGTGAGATGCTTCGTTCGCTTCAAATAAAAGTGCGTGGGCTTTTTGGACGCTGCCCTCGCTTACTTCTTCGCAGCAGAACTAGCAGCAGCAGCAGCAGCAGCAGCAGCCGCTGGCTGCAGCAATAGTGGTCACACTAGCAGTGGTGAGTAGCGGTGTAGCAGCGGCAATGGTAGGGTAGTCGAATGTAGTCGCAGTGGATAGTCCTCCTCCCCACTTCATCGTCGACGTCGTTGCCGTAGTGATGGTAGTGGTGGCGGCAGTGGCAGTGGCGGTGGGTGGCAGTGGCGGTGGCAGTGGCAATGGCACCGGCAGTCGTGGTGGTAGAGCTGGTCTGCGAAGACGAGAAGCCATCTGCATAGATTTTCTGTTGGCAAGTGTAAGCCTATCTGCAAACTACGGAGATGTTGCAGATTGTAGTGTTTTGGCAGCTTCATTCGAGAAGGACTCTGGCAGCATGCATGCAGTTCAGGAATCTACATGAGCTGCCCGGCTTCGACCAAGAAAGGCTCAGGCTTCAAAGGCTGAACCGTTGACTGAATTCTTCTTCGCAAGGGATCGTAGAGTCGTCATGGCCATCTCCCTGCATCTCCCTTCTTCAGACGAAAATTCCGGAGGCCGGTCCTGCCAGCGGCCAGGCCGGTCCAGGCTGATCTGACGTCTCCATCGTAGAATGGCGAGTATCTCATGCAGAGCTTCTGTGTGGTATTTTTCGCGACCGAAGCCCACGTAATTGTCGCTGGCTAGATCCAGCTGCGGGTCTTCGGAGTACATGCCCATGAACAAATGAAGAGAACTCTCCAAGGGTTCCGCCTCGACCGGGCCGCCCGTCACGAAGAGGACCGATATTCGCATCACTTGCATTTCTTTTCGTCGGCCTCCAGACCGCATACCTCCGCAAGCGAGACATTGCGTGTGGCTTGTCAGCACCTCCTACCTGACGAGAGGTCTCCGTCTTGCCAACTTTGACATAGCGGCGGGAGCGTAGGACTTCATAGGACGTGCGCGAACCAGAAGTACGAGGCACGAGTTGTGTCATTTAGGTTCTGCGACTTCTCCGGCCATGTCTTGAGTTCCGCAGCTGGCTTCCCGTAGAAGGCCGGAGGCCAAAGAACGTCGGAGGACATACAAAATGCAGTCTCACGGTCGATGCCTGGCCACGGCTGGAAGTACAGCGTCAGCTCTGCATTCCCGTCCTTGAGGAAGACCAAACGGCAACGCCTGAGAAGCTCCTGCAGTGTCTCCGTCTCAAACACGACGCGAGCGTGCGCGTTGCGGGATCGGACATGACAAGTGTCATGTGGGGGTTTTGTTGCTGCGATATGACTGCAGCGATGTGGGGTCTTTTTGAAGCCAAATGACTGGAGTCATCTGGGGTTTGGGTGCAGCATGACTGGTGCAACTTGGGGTCTTTCGGAAACGAAATAAGTGCTGCGATGTGGGTTTTTTGGGTACATGACTCGTGCGATGTGGGGCTTGGCACTGTACTCCTACTTGACTGGTGCCATGTAGGGTCTGTTGCTGCGATGTGGGGCTTTGTCCTCCTACATGACTGGTGTCATGTGGGGTCTGTTGCTGCGACATGACTGCTGCGATGTGGGGCTTTGTCCTCTTACATGACTGGTGTCATGTAGGAGGTTCGGTGCTGTGAAATGACTGGCGTCATGTGGGATGTCTGCTGTCTATTGACTGGCGCGACATGGGGTCTGCTGCTGGTGCGAGTTGGGGTGTTGGGGCTGGGGTGCTTCCAGTATGTGCGAGGTTCCCAGAAAACACAAACCCAAAACCCTGCCGTCCAGGCTTCTTCTTCGCGAAACCCGGCTGTCGTTTCCTGTCCCACATCATCCCCGGCACGTCCAGGTTTGCACGTTTAAAAAGTGCATGAACCTCTTGACTCTCATTCGATTCCAGGTTGGGATTTCCAGGGTCCGCGCCGAACTCTGTTTCAGGCTTCGAGTGGATTTCCTCCACCAAAGCGGCATGCATGTGTTTCCGCAGAGTGTTGTCAGACATTGGCGTTTCCGCATTGATCTGCCTCGGCCTTTGCCAGCGTGCCTGTGTTCGAGGTCCACTTGGCCCGCTACCATCACTCTCATCATCCAGCTCTGTGTCCTGTGTTAAGGGGATCATTGCGTGGGTGCACATCTCATTCTAGCGGCACTGTGGATGGAGTTCCGCGTGCATCCAGCACATCCAGTGATACTGGATTCCCATCGGAGTCCATCATGTGGCCGAGGACCTGCTCCCATGTTGTCCCTAGCTGTACGAACAGCTGCCTACGTCGGTTGTTACCCTCATTCCCAATCTTTCAGTTCTATTGTCGAGATTCTTCATGTCGAGCTTTCTGTAGCAGCCCCGCATCTCATCATGTAGCCCTTCTTATATTATGTGTATGTAGGGGTTGAGCTATGCACCGGTGGTATTTAGCAAGACTGTGCTAGTCTTAGTCGTGGCAGTCACGGTCGCGGCCATCGTCATCTTCATGGTCCTGAATCAATCGTCATATGTCATTAGCCAGTAGTCAGTAGTCGTTTGTCCGTCGCGACACTAGAACTGGCAGCTCACTTTCGATGATGATGTATTTGGCAGTCGTTAGACCCTACTGCATCGGGGCGAAAGCCGCCGCCTCTCTTTGCATTGACTGGAACGGAATAGGGAAGAGACGGTGCAGGTAACCTCTTGCGACTGGGGATGAAATCAGACGACCTTAGACCCAAGCATTTGGTGGTCGTAGATAGACAATCCTTTGTACTTTATGGACTTATCGGGACAAAGCAGGGGACACTGGACACGATCTTAGCTTTGACGCCTGATCCGACTGACCCCATTTTCCTGGAGCGCGCAGCTCCCCTGGCTGCAAGCCTGCTGGCCGCTCGAGCTGGCACCTGTCTTTGCTTGTCGTACTCGCTTTCCACGCCTCTCGGCATCAGCAGTGTTTTTAAGGAGGCTCTACATTGGCTTGAATGGTTGCAGCTGCACGCTTGCTGTCAGCATCGCCTCTTGACACGCTTCTTCTTCTTCTGCTTACATCCTTATGAGATGCACAGGTGTCGGCCGAAGTGCAGAGCGCTTCAGCTTGCTGCTGTGAGTCTAGACTTTCTTCGCCGACGCCGCTTCTTGTCCTTCTTTACTTCGGGAGAGGACGACTTTTCCTCTGTGGAGGCCGCAGACTCGGGCTGCCTGCCTGGCGGTGGTTCACTTTTCTTCGGCTTTTCTCCGGTCGTTGGTTTGATTGCGGCATTCGACTTGCTTGGTCCAGCTGATGGCGAGGAAGCGGTCTGCCGCGATCTCCGCGTCTCGTTTATTCTTCCCTTCTTCTGCCTGGGCATCAACAATCACCCCACAGCCACTCACAATAACCTATCTCGGAAAATCATGTTGGACAGAACCGTAAGTGCTGAGTAGCATTGTGGACCTTCTTGGCAAGCTCTCCGAGCTCGGCTCTCGCTGTCTCGGCCGAGGGGAGTGCCGGCCTCAGCTGAAACGGAAGCAAAGCTCTCAAGAGTGACGAAGTGCTGAAGCCCAAGGCCCATGCTGATCGAGCGCTGGACTCGATCATGGCGCCACATGCTGGGAGACCGTCGTGGACCTTCCGCCCTCGCAAACTTCAGTGGCGGAAGCGCAGGTGGAGGCGCATCCACTGGCCGAGGCTTCGCGTCGGCGGCCCGTTCGTTTGCCACACTCGCTGGCACCAACTTGGCTGCACGAGGGCCTGAGGCTCGCGTGGACTTCAGTTCCTTGGCCCGCTTCTGCTTGGTGTCAGACGTTTTTCCATCAACGAAAGCCTGCAAGAGGTGCCGAGAAGTTCCAAGTGCACGGACGCTGGCAGCCGACGGCAACACGTCTACAAAGAAGATGACTTCCGACTTGCCCAGTTGGAAACAGCAATGCTGTCTGGTGATCTCTTCTGGAGTGCTACCCACAGATAGGAGCTTTGGAGCTGCACGACATTGAGGTCCGGATCTTCTTTCCTGGAGCAACTTGCTGCTCACAGCTGCATGCTGAGAAGCACAGGTCAAGGAAACCTCACCATTGAGTGGTTGCAAGAGGTAGGACTCGGGAGGCACGAATATCACTGCAGCATGCTCTGTTTTGACGGAGGCGTGGGTGCCATCGGCCACGTGCGCAAACTTTAGGGATGAGCCCAGGATGGTACAAGGCAGCTCCAGCGCAAGAGTGTGACTTTCCAAAGCACCGTCAAAGACACGCAGTCGAACTTTGCCATCTGCACGGACAGGGGGATCGTCTTCCTCGTCAACTCCATTGCCATCGGCCTGTTGACGGCCTTGGCCTAAAAGAGATCTTGGCAGCTTTGCAGACCAAGGCAGCTTGGGCAGGCGCAAGGCCTCCAAGCTCTGACCTGATCGCATGGCCACCCGGAAATCGGCCTCTGACGCTTTGGAAAGGGCTTCAGCGCCTGTTCGAATGCTGTCCTCGACCGTGCCAACACTTGCAGCGTTGCCCGGAGCGTTGCCCGGGGATGGCCCTTCAACCCTTTTCTGCGATGAGCTTCCAGGCTCAGGCACCACCGCAGGGAAGCTATGGACCTTTGGAGTTGCAGCTTCGGCTGCGGAGACCTCAGTCCTTAGATCTCGAGCATGAACAGAGGCACGCCCAGTCGTGCCATCAAGCTCGATGCATTGCCAGTCTCGCCCGCGAATGGGCCTCGCCTCTCTCGAAAGAACTCCTGATCTCCTGCCAAACCGAAAAAGACTGTTTTGAAGCATGGCATCGACGGCAGGTGTTCCCTGAGTGCAGCCTCGTCTGTTTGCGTCTTCGGCTTGATGTGAGCCTGAATCCATCTGCCAATGACAAGCTTCAAGCAGGAAGTCATTCGGCCTTCCACCAAGCAGTGCTCTTCCAGACTCCACGTGGTTCTGCACAAGGCTCACGGTCAGGTGCCCGGGCCTTCGCTATGCAAAAACCAAGGGTCGGCACGCAAGCAGGCATCATCGCATCTGCCAGACGCGGGTCAATGACTGCCGCTGCCAGAGCGACAGCGAGCGAGCCAGAGCGAGAGCAAAAGAACACATGAAACAGAGACATAGGTCGTGAGAATGAGCAGACGTAGGAAGGATCTCACAGAAGCTATGGAGCGATAGAGAGCCACAGAGGAGAGGTACAAAGAGAGAGAGAGAGAGAGAGAGAGAGAGACAGACAGAGAGAGAGAGAGAGATAGAGAGAGAGCGAGAGCGAGAGCGCGAGAGCGCGAGAGCGCGAGAGCGCGAGAGCGCGAGAGCGAGAGCGAGAAGGGAGAGATGGGATACACACAGCATCATGCAGCCCATCAACCCTCACCCTGATTCGCCCATGCTCCTCCTAGCGCTAGTGCTTGTGAATTCACTACCCAGCTAGAACATACTGGATCATGATGGTCGCACCTGCTGCTTGCCTCGAAACAGGCTTGTCGCGACTTATGCGAAAAAGCACTTGGAACGGCACATGTTGCAGGGGCACTGGTCACTTCGTGGAAAGCCCAGTACAACGAAGCTATTATGCATTGGATTGTAAAGGAGCTCAAGATGCTGAAGTGTGCACCTCCATGCTCGGATGTGCTGGGCCAATTGCGGCAGTCGAAAAACAGCTGAGCCCCTTGGATCCGGTACAGCACCAGGCCACACCAGTGAGTAAGCGGTGCTTACCACGCACACCCATAGAACACAAACCGGACTTAAACGGGAGAGACTGAGAGAGGGAAGAAGAGACGGAAGACAGCGAGAGCCCGGCCTCAGCCACGCACAGAGGCAGCATGCTCAGTGGCAAAGACCCTGCTTCTCCTGCGTAAGACGCACGTCAGGATTCAGGAGCACCCCAACCGTCAGAAGGCATCGAGACATGCTTGGCTTTCGCTCCTTCCCAAATTCCGCTGAGAGGTAGACGTTCGGGGTTCTGCTTGCTGGCGTCTTCCTGCTTATGCGGTCTCAAACCACTTTCAGTAGGAGCAGAAGCCAGCCTGCCTCGTCCATCTGGAGTGCAACGCCCTTCTCCGTCTCTGTCTGTTCTGGGATGGCCCGTGGCTCTGTGTCCTGGCAGCCATTGCCGCCTTCGTGGCTATCCCCTAACACGGGGTCTGGATCTGCCGCTGCCGTTTGTGGCTCCTGGCAATGTCCATGTAGCATGCAAGCGGATGCAAGCGGATGCAAGTGGACCGAGCACGACTCTGAGCTTCGTGCGGCTTGGAGGATGTGCGCGACAGATCCATGGACCTCAACTCCAAACGAAAAGCTCTCAATCAGCCACCAGGCTACAATCCTGACAGGTGGCCGCTCGCATAGCTTTGGCTGCGAGCTCCTCGGTAATCAATAGCAACATCAGCAAATCCAGGTCTCACGTTCATCTACACGCTCGGTCTAAAGTCTAAACGCCGTGGCTGATCGAAACACAAGCTCTTCGGAAACAGCGTCTTGCCTGCAGAAGACGCACACAAGGAGCAGGAGCCCGGGTACAGCATCCCCTTTGGCGAGTTTCTACTGTTTCTCGCCCATTGGTGGGTAAACGAAACGATTTTGGGGGATCTTGTGGGTTGCTGAAGGAAACATTGAGCCAATATGTGGACCTGGATTGCGCAGGATTTTCCGAAGGCCACCGAACAGTGCGAAAAGATATCGTAGAGATCATTGCACGAACTGCTCCCAAATCTTCAGCCAACATCTATCGCGATAGCCGCTGAGACAGAAAGGCCGATGATGCTATTGCATAGCATGGTCGTCTCAGAGGGTGCCCTCACATGGCTCCCCCCCAAGCCTCGTGGTCACTGCTCAGTACATACCACTGAGACAATCCCGATGCTCTGATGTGAGATTTTGCAATACCCACGCGGATCGAGACCCCTCGGCCGTAGGCTTTCGAAGTCTTGCCATGCCCCTTAAAGCCTTAAGCCGAGGGCTCTTCTCCCCGAGACCACCCAGCCAAGTCATGAGCCAAGCTGCATGATGCCGCGGTATTCCTGCGACGGTGGCCGTGTCTTCGCAGATTAACATGTGAATGCAGATGAACAGATGGACGACGTACTCACAAACACATGCCATAATGTGCCCGAATTTTCCTAGACTCTGCGGGCTGCTCGGCAACGTAGGTGCTTCCAGCGAATGTCAACAAGCTTCTGTAAATTGGTTTCGAAATCCGGTCGGGGACCCTAAGCGACAAATCAATGCACGGGCTTTCCCAGGGCCGGCCGCCGCACTGCAAAGGTGGCGGGTGTCCAACACGTTCGTTCAAGCCTGGCCTAAACTCACGTCTAGCGTCGCACATGTGCATGTGAGTCGATGTACATTCAATTGCGCTGCCCTCCACTTCTGCTTCGTGCGATCATGTACGATCTAGCAACATGCACTGGCATCCTTGATAACCCCGACGGAAATTTTACGCGAGGGCGCTGATAGCACTCAGGAGCACCATTTCGGTCGATCCGGATTTCGAAAGATTAGACGAGTATGAGTGCAAAACCCGACATATCAGCCACTGCAGCGACCAAACTCTTTCGTCTGCCCTCACGGGCTCTCATGCATGGACCTACATGGGAGGCCCTGGACGGCTGGCGGGCTAAGCCATGTTTGGACTTGGATTGAACTCTGAATTCCAGTCACCCTCTCTGGCTGGCTAAGCGTCTGCGATCCTGGCTGGGCCAAACGAGCCCGTAACAAGTAACGAGCAAAGTTGAGCTCGAGACATCCATAACCATCCCTAGCTCTATGCGAAAGTGACTTATGATGACTGATGACTGATGCACCCTCTTGGAATATCTAGCGTCCTAGCCTGCAGAAAAGGCATGTTCGTCGTTGTGCCATTCCGGCTACAGCAAGGCAAGTGAACGTGCTGTTGCGCCAGGCCTTCGAAAGGCGACTGCGGCGACTCCTGAGTCTCGTGGTGGACTGAGTCAAAGCTGGCGAGCTCCACCTGTATGTCTGTCGCAACCTGTCTTGAACAAGTCTGCGACTAATCGCCGAGCCTCATCCTCTGCTTGCTGGTTGCACCTGCCACTTCTGGAAAAGCCCAAACAAAAGACGGGTAACAGGGCAAAGAAGCAAAGAAGATCAATGCTGGCCTGTCAGAACTTTGGTGTGGATCTGCAGACTCTTCACTACCTTGTGCCGGAGGTGGAGGGGGAGGAGCTGGCGGAGCAGCCGGCGGAGCAGCCGGCGGAGCAGCCGGCGGAGCTGGCGGTGGACGAAGGATCGCTGCGGCTTCTTGCAGATGACGGCCTTGTTTGCAACAGGGGCCCCGCACCCGAGCACTCGGAAACACTTTCGCATCCGGCCCACCTCCGTGGCGGAAGACATTGAGCCGCTCGCCTTTACCTGCAAGAAAGCTCACAGCTGCGGAGCTTCCAAAACGTATGCATGCAACATCGACCTGGCCTTTGCCGAAGTGGCCCCTCTTGCCCTCCCCGCGTTCCCGCTTCGCTTCCTGTGGAGCGTCAAGTTCAGCTTGTAGGTATGTCCATAACATATTGCGCTCATCCAGGTCGACGTTGGGGTCGCAGGGGCGCGAGAGCAGCTCCAGGTGCCGAATCTGTTCAGATATCTGATGCAAGCTGGGCAAGAAGTGCTGCATGTCGGCGCTTCGACCAGAAGCTTGTGCCTGGGACAGCTGGGGCTGGCACGCCGCACTTGCATTGCGTTCGTGGCGTGCTGACTCTTGCCTTTGCAGCTCCATCTCCAGCTCCAGCTGCTGCAACATTTGCTGGCACAGCTGCTGCTGTTGAGACATATGCAGTTCACGTTGCAATTGCTCCTGCAGCTCTTGGCATTGCTGACTCCCAGGCTCGGTTGCATTGGCACGCTCCAATTCTTGCAGGAGCTCCAGTCCGCTGATCCTCTGCTGTGTCTGATGTGTCTGCTCCATTGCTTCACGCCGTTGCAATATAGCTGTGAGCTCTTGTTGGAGCTGATGCTTCTGGTGCTCGAATTCCTGCTGCTGTCGGTCGAAGTCTGGGACACTCTCGCCCGACGCATCAGGCTCCCCGTGCTCAGGCTGCGTGGGCGATGCAGGACATGCTTCGTTTGATATGGTCTCCTCAATCCCGACTTCCGGAACTTCCTGGACTCCCAGCACTACCGCGTCAGCTTGCGACCTTCTCAGTAAATGTGCTGGAGGTGGGGTGGACGGTGGCTTTGGGCCATGCTTCGGCCTGACACTGTCGGAAACCATGTCGAAAACCTGCTTCACAAGCTGCTGCAGCATTTCCAGCGCGTGCCTGGCAACGCGCACCTGCGGCGCTGCCATGAACGGCATCACCTTCTCGGGCTTCCAGTCGCCATACAGCAGCTTCCAAAGAAGTGACAGCCCTTCCAACTGTCGTTGTCTCTCTTGTTTCGCCCACTGGCCAATTGAAGCCAGTGTCTGGATGTCCGATTCCATCTGAAGCGCCGAACCTTCCTGACATCGCTGCTGCACGGCTCCCAATGCCTGGTCAAGCAGCGTGCGCAGCTGGTCCTGCCATGTTTGGAGTATGTCAAGGTGTTGAAGGACGCGGCCCGACTCCTCAAGAAGTGTTTCACGGTGCTTGCTTCGAAGCTGCCGAGTGTAGGCTCCATACCACGGAGGCCATGGCTGCTTGGTGGCGCCAGCATTTCGGCCCATAGTTCCATGGCGGCAGTAGGCATTGCCGCTTCAGGTCTCCAATGAGGAAGGCTCTAGCACTTAGACTTAGTCTGACCTCCAGGCTCTTCAGTAACCCTTCAAGACTTCAGGACTGTTGGCGATTGGACCTTATGATGAACTGCTTGCACCGGCATCGTTCGTAACCGGTCCCTATGCACGTCACCTAGGACTAGTTATGCACTCTTGGGCATGTCTGTACCGCACTTGAATCCGGCTCTCACCACAATGACAGCAAAGCGCCACTCCGAAAAAACACCCGAGAACACTGACTCTAACCCTCGAAAACCTCAGCGTAAGCTGGAGGCCAATTCCGAAGAGGATGGCACCGGACATGAATAACCTAGACTGTGCGAATGTGGCTCTGCACCGTCGACGAGTCGAAGTGCCGGAAGCGCAAGCCAAGGCCCCCGGACACGAGGTTCCGCATTCCAAAGAATTCGCCAGCAACCCTGGGTGCTGAATGGTGCTGGAGTCCACGGCTCTCAGCGGCCAAAGACGAAGCTCTCAAACTCGTGCTCAGAGCAACACACGAGGAGGTCTTCTTGCATCCTCATGCTCAGGGCACACGGAGTGGCTTCGGGCAGCGCAGCAGTCAGGCACTCGGGTGCTGGCATGGCAAGGCACCTTGCTGCATCTAGGTCAAGAACAGTGGAGGCTGCGCACGTTTGCGGAGAACCTGCTGAGGTCCGCATCTTCCTGGTCGAGCGTGCCTGGTCTCCTGAGTTGCTGAGGCCCCGAAGTGCTGCCATCTGATTGAACATGAGCTGGAGTAAGCTCCGAGCGCGAGGATCACAGCACCTTTTTCAACTGGCTTGCCGGACAAAGTGGTCAGGGCCTGCTATAGTGGCACGACAGGCAGGACGAAATTAGAGCTCGTACAAAAGCGAGGTCCCCACGTAGTCATCCCTCATGTGCCGACCAAGATCCAACAGAATCAACCTGGGGCACGGCAAGTCCTCAAAATATAAGTTTCGAAGGGCTGAACAGCTCGGTGTGAACTTGGATTCTTGCACGCCCACAGCAAAGGATCCCAGGCAGCCATGCCAAACCTTCCGAACTGCAATGTTGACCGACTACAGCACAGGTTGTGAGCCCCTTACGGCACAGAGGCGCTCCACGTATCCATACACACCTGAAGCCAGCCAAGATTCGCAAGGGCGCGCTTAGCCAAACAAACAGAAGATGGCCTGGTCGGTCCGATTCTGGCACCGCACCCGTCAGCCTGCGCTGCACAGCACTGCACAAGCATCCTCCGCTCATCCTGGACGCACTTCGGACATGATGCGATACCATGGCTGAGGCAAAAACACTCTTGGCACGACATGCCTCAGCTGTTGCACATGGCCTTCTGTCGCTCCTGGCGTTCCCTTGCATACTTGGCGACTGCTCTGCAAAACCTCCAGCTCTTCCCTCAGCGCCCCCCCGCACACTGGCTGTTTCGTCCTTCTAGGGCCCTAGGGAAGCGGCATCTCCGTCGACAAGCGCCAGAGAACTGTTACAGCAAGCCCTCCACACACCCCGTGTACGGGCACGATCGTGAAGAAGTGAGCGGCTGTGAGAAACGTCGTGCCAATATGCAACCCACAAGGCATCTCTCAGATACAGGTTCAAGATCTTGTTCTAGCATTCTGCAATCACAGCCGCACAGACTCTGGAAGACCCTGCCTCACTCAAGTCACAATGCAAGTCCCCTTGTGTTGTCGCTCTCCCAGTTGTCCGTCTGTCGCAGGTCGATCATCAGAATTCCATCATCGCTAGTATGCAATTACTTGCAGAAGACCGCGTCTCCATGCCGCTGCTGCGTTTTTTTGATGCCTCGAACTTCTCAAAGAACCAAGCAGAACATCATTCATGCCCAGCTTGTCTGCCAGGAAATCATACAAGTTCGGGTTCTTCATGGCTCTCTGCTTTTGCCTTAGAGCCGTAGTTGCCACAGAGATCGGTATGGCCTGCCTTTCGTTCTTCGGGATAAATCGGTTTCCAGCCAGCCATGTGTATCGAAAGGCGAGACCACGATCTTGAAGTCAACATGAGGGAACAGGCGCACGCTTCCCTCAAGGTCGAACTATCGCATTATCGTGGCAGGAATTGCCGAAACAGTCAAATAATCTAGCACCCATAGCAACACCGGCCGTCCTACACCTTCGGAAGCCGGCATCAAACAACTCAGTACCCAGGGGACCCAGCCACGCATTGGGACAACTACGCGCAAGGAGCTCGCCCTCTCTCTCTCTCGCGTTCTCAGGGGGTCCTGTCAAACGCAACGCTCGCTCTCTGAAAGGAGCCAATACAGGTGCGAAAACACTCCAGATCGAGCCATGGCATGACATCAGCGCTAAATGGTACCGGGACTGTCATTTCTTGGGACAGGACTGCTTGCGGTCACGGTGTGAAACCGCAAACAGGCTTCACCAAGACTTGTGATTGCCTCACGACCAAACTCAGATCGGGACTGGCCCTCCTGCAGAACAAGTGCAAAAGCTGACTGCTGGTCATCAGCGACCGTGCCTTAAAGCCTTCTTTTCCCAAGCAGCCGGCAGAGCCAATCATACTCTGTGGGATGGACATAAACTGGTAAGAAAGCCGGCAGGCGGCACTGTATACAGACCTGCATTTGCCAGATCGTCCACCCGCAAACTGTGACTGCTCGATTTTTGGGCAGTTACAGGCGCTGTCAACTCCAAGCCCAGCCCACAATTGCCGAGACCTTGTCGCTAAGCCGCAGAAGACCCCAACTACAAAATTGTATCTGGAGATCCTGGCCCTAGCAGCCTGCAAAGGAAATGCTGAGACTATCTAGTACTGAGAAGCATCACATCTCCATGCTACTGTGAGGCAGGGTCCAAAGAAGCAGCCAATCAGGTGCGGTTGAATGCATTTGAGCCACAAAAGTCTGATAAAATTTGTGCAGATTAACTACAGTAGCGAGCCGTTCGTATGCGAACGTCCCCCCCCAGCACCCAAGAACGCAGTATCCACCATTTGCAGCCCATATATGAGTCCAACCAAAGAGCACTCAAGGTCGAAAGGACTGACAAAAGACCATTCTCCGAGAATCCCGAAGAGAATTAGCTTGTACGTGCATACCTGATTTATGTATTGATTTCAAGCCTGTCGCACAGACACTGGTGTGACTCGGGTGCATCATACAAGCATATGCACACTATCATCGGGATGAAGCCAGCTCCTCGGCTCAGGATTTGGGTTCGCGAGCCTTCTCTAGTGGGCAAGACCGAAGCCAAGCAGGAGGCAGGCTAATCGTGTTGAGGCTTAGTTAGCTACAAACTGCTGCTGAAGGCCCCCAGTTGCACAAACAACAAGCGGTCAAGGCGACACCTCGTCACGGAAGAGTCTACGACCCTTGACGAACAACATGTGAATGCATGGAATAGTCAACCTCCGAAACCTGTGTGCAAATCACGTGGGACATGAATATCAACTTTTCGCGGCATGCCGATCATTCTGTTGTGGATGCATGCTACGAGGACTACTTAATTCTGTCGTGGCCCAGTGAGCTCGCTCACGTCAAGTAGCTCGCTGTGCCTTGCATACTTGAGCTGAAAAGCCCGTAGAATTCTGCCATGGGACTGATCACTGGGCACACGCAAGACTTGGATTGCGCTGATCAAATGCAGCCTCACGGTAGATCGCAAGACAATTTGCGAAAAAGCAACACATCCCACTGCCCGGCCAACATTCCGGGCAGCCGGTAGCTTGTATGAAGCTGCACTAGGCATGCCACGACTTTTTACACTATACAGCCTCCTCAGCATGTGCATTCGCAACATGTTAATTAGCTTATAACTCGCCTGCACATGGCATTACGAAACCTACGCCATGTCACGACGTACGTGGATGGAACACAACGACAGCTTGAGGAGGTTCCGAAACCCAGGAGGCCTTCAAGAAGACCTGACGATGCGCTGGACCTGTTTCTTTGTGCCAATTCAAGCATTCTAGTTTCGGTGCGCAGTCGCCTGCCTTGCCATCGGCTGCATTGGCACAAATAAGACAGAAGAGCAGCTCCGTGTGCTCTCCAGCAAGGAACATTGGGTTCAAAGGCGACAGGCGCCGAGGCGCAAGATGGTGCAACGTGACACCCCTGGACCAGCTTGAAATCCGCGCTCACTCTATAAATTGGAGCCAAGCGCCGGCTGGAGCCATCTGCACTGTCACAATACAACGAAAGTCACAAGAACTCTCACTATCCCGGGTGCGCTGTACGTTGCACCGAATAACACTAAGTCACTAAGAGTTTGAGGTGGTTGAGGTGAGAAAGAAAGAAAACGAGTCAACCGGCACCATATGGACTTACAAAGTATCGGGATTATGCTTGGCTAGGGAACCGTCGGTCACAGCTGAACGTCGCGAAATTTGCAAGGTCCTGAGCAGGCAAGGCGCATTGCACTTGCCAGAGAAAAGCAGTGCTAATCGCAAGGCATAGTCAGAAAAGGTTCTGACTGTATGCTCAGCTCTTGCTTTCTGACCTGCTGTGACCAACTACTCGTTTTCGATGAGGATGCTTGGGTTGACACTTCAAGTTCGGCATTCTTCGGAGAGCCGCAATGGCTGCTGTATGTTTGTGTCAATTGCTGCCGCTGCCGGCAGCGATGCTGGCAGATTCGGCCATTGGAGCAGTCACATCAGAGCGCAGGATTGCTGTGGGGCATGGTGCCGGTGCCTCTCCGAAAAGCATGCACGCTGTATCACGGAACCGAGCGCAGGCTGCCGGCGTCATCCCCAGTTTCAAGTTGATGTCGTCAAAGAGTCGTGCAACTTCAGGATCCGTGATGAACTGGGAGCAGTGGCTTACCATGTCCAGAACGCCGGCACGTGAACCCTGGAAGCCATACTGTGGCAGAATTCGGCGCTGTAGGGGCAAGGCTAGTTCGGCTCGGCCCCGCAAGTGGTAATATCCTTCGCATGCCTGCTCCACATCTGCACAGCGCCTCAAGCAGGAAATCCCGTTCTGGAAGCTCGGGCTACCTTAGTGATGAAGAGCTCTCTGAGATTCGGGCTACGAGGCAACTCAAGGGTGCAACCGAGCTTGCGAAACTGAAGTTTGGATTCCGTCCAGGACACTGAAAGCAGCCAGCTGCTTTCGCAACAGTTTTGCAACCTCAGCCAGTTGGAAACTGCCTCGAATGAGTCTGTCAAACGAGGGGCTTGCATGAAGACTGTCTGTTGTGGAAGATCGTTCAAAGCTCGCATTCGTCCATCTACTTGCACACCGTTTCTGATGTCACACTGCCACAGTCCACCATCAAGCCTAACTGACTACGGACATCAGAGTTCGCCGCAAGCATCAGTTTACTGCAAACGAAGCAGCAGTGAAAGCCGTGGTTGGCTTCGATCCCGTTCGGCCCAGTGGCCCCTGGTTGCATGTGTGAAAGTGGCGGTCGTAGGTATCAGCAAAACACAGTCAATAGGTATCAAAAGACCAGGGTTCACGTCTCCTGACACCCAAACAAGGCATGGAAGGCTTGCTGAAAGTCGAAGAGGCAAGAGTTCTCTCTCAGCCAGCTGGGCATACCCAATTCCCGACGTTTGCCGTATGCACGTGATGCTCTTCAGCACTTGCTGTCTTGAGGCTCAATCGTGAGCACATTAGCATATCCCCTGGCCCCCCGCCACCCCCCCAGCCACAAACTCAGGCTTGGCAAGAACTGATGCGACGAACCTTGAACTACTTGCACCGTCTTCGTCATGGGCTAGGCTTCTGGCCCAAAATGGGATAGGTTTCGGTCCCTCATTCCAGACCCAAGGAATGGATGTGTTGAAGGATTAGGGTCCCGTCGCCGTGTGTCGTCGTCGTGCTAAACACTAGGAATGGCATATGTTGCTGTCTGCGAAATGCAATGCGGACAGCAGCATGTAGCACGTTACAGGGGATATGGGTTCTGTCCTTGTTAAGGATACCAGCTACGGACTCAGCCACCCAGGTACTCCTCTTAGCACGCACGTTTCCACGTCTGCTACTCATGGTCTTCGTTGGTCCTAACATGAGCAACAGACCTGGGACCCCCTGCAGGAAAATGCCAACTTGCCATGTGCAGGCGTGCACACACAAGCCCTCTATGGGGCTTTTGCATTGGTATGCGATGTGCAAATATGTGCAAACTTCCTCGCAGGGAAACGAAATAGATGCAAACAATGAGCCGGTGCCAAAAAGGCCGTAGGGGGCCGGTGCCGTGAGGCCAGTGCCCAAGCGTAGTGGGCCAGTGCCAAGAGGCCAATGCCCGGTGTGAAAGAATAAACCCTAAACCTCTAAACCAACGCAAAAAGACAGACCAAGACGGAAGTGAGCACTCGTGTCGCCCAACAAGTGCTTGTGACAAAGGAAGAGATCTTAGAACATTACCGAGAAACAACACGAGGCAACGATCAGAAACACAACGCTCACGGAGAGCTCCTGCACGTGCACTGACCTTGCACCCACAATTGGATATGTTTGCGCAGTCACTGGCAAACCCTCACCTGAACCCTTTCGGAAGAAACCCTGCAAGCAGTCGTCCACATACGTCCGTCCACCCCCTTTCTCCAGTTCCAGAATGAACAAGATGATGGCATGGAAAGCTGCGGCAAATGATCCTCAAGCACATGATGATGATCGACACAATGACGTTGAAGTCTGCTCGTCAGAGTCCCACATCCGCTAGCACGGGCTCCGGCATTGCCGGCTGTGATCTGGCCCCGTGTCGGGAATGCCAGAACAAACACACTCAGGTTTGGCAAGAACTGATGCGACGAACCTGGTCACCTTCCTTTGTTCCCGACGGGTAGACGTACCGAAAATTCGTGAACACATTCTTCACCACAAGAGCAACCTTATCAGCCTCAATGCCAAAATCACGGAGATCCTTAGTCACAATGTGACCAAGTGTAACATGGTCCTCAAACTTCTTCGGGATAATGGTTGACCCCCCTCGCTTCCTGGCGCGGGGCACTAACATCTTGGCTTTTTGGCACAACTGGCACAACTTGCAATAGGGGTTCTTGGGTCGATGTGCGAATTTGTGCTCCAGACTATCGGCCTGCAGCTTAAGCTGGGCTGAGCACTTTTCGTCTGTTGGCTCAAGTTCAGCTTCAAGTCCGCTGTCGAGCTCGGATTCAGGATCGTCTTCGAGTCTTTTAAAGATCGTTGCTGACAAAACAGCTGGATCCGGAAGCTTAGCAACCGCGGCTGTCGAAAGTCCGAATGTCCACATCCTTCTCGATTTCAACCCATTTCTTCCGGAAGAGGAAACCTGTTGCCGGGGTTCGGAAGGTTTTTGGTCGGTGTCCCAGAATCATATGCAGGAGCTCTGGGCGCGAGACCCATCCTGCCTTCATCATGGCCCAATCTTCAAACGCATGACCTCTGTGACTGCCTCTTGTACCTCCGGGTCGAGGCCCTTACCCGAGGCAATTTCTTCTTTCGGTTCGCTCTCTGCTGTTCCGGCGTGCCTTAAGGCCGCTGCGATTAACCCGGCAATGTTGCTCCTTTGAACACGATTTAACACGACCGTTCGCGATTTTGAAGTCTGATGCTGGGGTTGCGATGGAGCCTTCGCCAATCATGGGTACTCTGCCTTGGAGCTTGCAGTAGAGCTTCTTTCCTTCTGGCATGACGAAGTAAGGTGCTTTACCCGAGTTCCTATGGACGTCAAACCCTTGATCCAGGCATCGGCGCCCCACGGTGGGGTGGACTCTAGAGTCTAGAACGTAGCATTCCAAAGTGCTCCAAGTTCTGGAACCTCGAGTTTCACCGACTTGTTACCCTGAACCGATCCGTTAGGATACTGGGCGGGATGACTGCTCAACTGGAGCCTTGGGGAAATGAGCTTCACGATCCGCAGTGTGGCCACTCTGTTGGCGGGACGCCGTGTCTGCGTGTCTGCATTGACAAAAGGGACGTGATCATGAACACGCGAAACCACCTCGTGACCGCCAGACACACGCCGCACAACCTGCTTCCGTCTCATCCACAAGGGGGCGTCCTGGAAGAAGCTGGCCGCCAGGCCAACCACCGCCAGCGGTGCGTGGTGCGTGGCCAAAGCACGCATCTATGCAGACTGTAGCACAGTATGTTCAAGGAACTCCGTTGCCCGGCGTGGCACGCAGTGATGTGTCCCACAAGTAAGACATCCGGATCCTGAAGTGGTTCGTCGACGGACGGGCAGCAGGCGGTACCTCTAAGAACAGCGGCATCCAGAATGACAGCCGGAATGTCCCGATCGGGGACTCATCCGGCTGAGTATGACAATCCACATCACGTACTGGCCCAGGCGAGGCCTAATCAAGTGTTCGTCGCTGCTTGTAGCTGTGAAAAAACTCCAGTCCTGGCACCAACCCCCCTGCACAGGCAGGTCGAATGATCATTACCCAGCACGCAAAGGAAACCCTCTTCTTCGCATTCCTAATCACAACCAGCTTCAACGCCAGCAGACATGCACTGGACAACTCTGTGACACAGTTGGGCCCACAACATCGCGTGTTTGAGGTCCTGCGGGTTGGGCCTCGGGCATTCCCGGGCTGTAGCAAACGACTTTGCATACACGCTGTAACTGTGTTTCCTGCCCTTACCTTCGGGTTCCACGGCGATCATTTGAGCAACAGGATCAAACTTCACGTTGGGCATAGGCCTCAGGCAAAAGATTGTCTTGCCTACCCATAGATCACCTGGCATGTCCGGTATTGCCTGCCCCCAAGCCTACTGCCTGTTCGGGGAAACCGGGAGAAGCCTGTCGACCTTCACGTCACCCTTCAACTTCTTTGTGTTGAATCGGGCACGAGTTACCCGGGACAAACCAGTCCACGCGATATGCTCTGTGGTGCCTAATCGGCTTACCACCCAAGAAGTCAATTTTCCACGAATCCTCGAGCATGTTCCGAGGGCTCGACTCGACTCGGCACCACTGCCGCCGCGATGGCCAGGGGCCGCTGGCTTGTCCGGCTTCCCACTTGAAATAGCTCTTGGGCTTCTTCCCGCTACAAGATGCAGGAGAGTTGGCTGGGAATTACCCTTTCCTGCAGCCGGTGAGGCCTCCGATATCGGGGCGGGAATTGATTGCCTCTCGATGTCCTTATGTAGAACCAGCATTTGTCACCTGGAGTGCAATTACCTTCTTTCCAAGACTTGCATGTCTTGTTAATCTTCTTTGCGGGTTCGTGTCCCTTCGGGGAGAGCGACCGCTTCTTGTGCAAAAAAGGATAGTCGTTGCCACGATTGCACGTTACGTTAGGGAAGTCATGGCATACTCCTTTCGAGCTTGGGCATCGCGAGTCGTTGGGAGTTGGTGATTTGCTTCGTCCTGGGGCTGGTTGATCTACCACGCCACCTCTGCCAGACGGGCTGGACGAGCGTGGGGAAGCAGCAGCACCATACTTATCCCCGTGAGATCTGGCTATGCAATCTCGGTTCTTTATCTTTTGTTCTGGTGTGAGAAGTTCCTTTGCTGATTCTTGTAGGTGTGCTGTTCACTGCCCTTGCGCGCTCGGTCGTAGATCTCGAAGGTTGTACTTAAACATTTTCGACTGCCTGAGCTTTCTCCAAAGGATGTCTCTCGGGTCGTCTCGTCAGGCATGTGACTCAAGCCCGCCATGACACTCTCCCAGTTGTTGATGCAGGTTCTCAAGTCATCTCCGAGGAGCGTAACCTGAAGAAGATCCTCCACCGAATAAAGGTTTGGTTGGCGTTCCCGATACCCGGAGTGCCGTGACCGGCCGCTGTAGAAAGTGCCGCGGAGCACTGCTGTTTCCCGGGTCCTCGGGAGCCTTTGCTGCAGTTGGGGGGTGTGGGCTTACAGCAGGAGGATTCATGGATGCAAACAGTTCCCTTGCACTTGGAGGGATTGTATTCGGCACTGAAAACATAGTAACATAGGTGCTTTCGGGGGCGATGGCAGTCCAGAGAGCGGCTGCGCCTTGGAGTAGCTAATGGTGGTTCCGGCTGACCCTCTGGGGTCTCTCTACCGAGTCTCTCCAGACTCTTTCCAGGCACGTTGCGCTGACTCCAGTCGATCCTGAAGGTCTTCGTTCTGTTCCTGAAGTTCGTAGACCACAGCCCTGTGTTCTTGTTTCTCTCTCGTCTTGTACTGTTCAATATTCGTTTGGAACTGTTGCACCATCTCTTGCTGAGTCGTCAGGAGTACCGAGTGGCTTGTTCATGCACGCCTTGCGCAAACCTCTTTTTAAGCTGTGAGTGTGCTCAAGTGCTAGAGCCAGTGGTACTGCGGAAGTGTACAGATTCACGAGCCAGTAAAACATACATGAAAACAAGACATGTTACGTGCATCAAGTGCGTCTGAGACATGTGCTGGTTGTGCTTCCCCCAACTCTCTTCTGAGTCTTGTGTCGCTGGCCAGTTCGACTGACTCAAGGGACTGCCTGTGTCTCACCTCTGCCCTAGCCTCTAGTTCCTGTACCTCCTTACCTGCGTCATGCGTACTTCCAGGGTTTGTGGTGCGTAAACTGTAAACATTGACTGTACTGCTGATAGACAGCTGGTAGCGCATCTGAGCTGAGGGACGGACCACTGAGGATCGGACTTCGCACCGGCAAACTCAGACCAGTGACTAGTGATTACTGTCCCTTTGCCTGCAATTGCGCGGTTTCCCATCCCTGGGAGCTGGAAGGGTTCTTGTGTGTTGTCTTCCATTGTGGACCGAAAAGAGAAGTCGCCTGGCGATGGCGGAATCTCTGTAGGTACCAATTCAGACGAACTCATGCGCTGATTGCCAAATACAGATGTGAGATAACACGCCGTAGGCTATACGGCTGATAACCTATAGATCGAAGAATGCACTTGTACACGCAGGTACCGATGATATATCAGCCAAGTGTTAGCAGGTTGTACCACGGCACGGCAAATTGCGTTTTCCTGCTGGAGCACTATGCCACGGTCCAATGCACAAACGGTGCAACTTACAGGTGCACAATTTACGAGAACTGTGACCTCAGAGCTGGAGAGTCTGAATGGGAGGTGCAAACAAATTTAAGCTTACGGCCAAAAATCTAAACCAAAGAGCTTCCACCCGACAGCCTGGTCCTATACCCCTGTTGCTCCGTAATCCTCCTAGCAAGTCGAGTGTACTCAAGGTCTACGCTATCGGTTAACGACAGCAACACAAGTTGCACGAAAACGTCTCCACCTAGTCTCGATTGGGGCCAACCGTCTGCTACTGGTAATATTATGCGATTTCCGGGTCGGGCAGCCTGAGCTAGAGGATAGTGCACCTATCGCAGAAAAAGCAGAAGTAGGAGCGACAGCAGTAGGAGCAGTAGTCGTCGTCATGGTGCACTCGGCGGGCTCGGCTTGAAAGTTTCGACATTAGCAAAAGCAGCAAAACAGCCAAGCCCAAAAAGTTAAGAAGCCGCGTGGTAGCGACGACCGCGAAAGCCAAGAAGCTACGAGGACAGCAACAACCACAAGTTCAGAAGCCAGGGAGCCCGGGTGCCCAGAACAGACAGACGAGGAGCTAGTTACAAGCAGCATCTGTTGTGCTAAGCCAGGACGGGCCTTGTCTGTCGTCAGCGCACGCCCCGTCTGGCAATAGGGGAAGAGTGCCTCTTCGATAGCTACGGCACTGACAAAGATGTCCGCATCCTGCCAAACCAAAACACACACACACACACACACACGAGGGCGGAGGCCAAACACAGTGTCGACAAGATGCAAAAGCATCCCTACCACAACCACTCATGCCAAGCATCGTTGTCAAACTGTTGCATGTCAACGTCCAGGTCCTCCCACAACGTCTCGAGTTCGTGCAGCTGCATGTAACACACGTGCGGGCTAGCTCCTGCAGGCCTTTGGAGGATGCCTCGTAGCCGTACCTGGAGCTGCAAGAAACGACCTACTTGTAACCAGCGGAGACTGTACGAACACGCGGGTCACACAGGCAAGATCTCGAGTTTGGTCTTCTCCAAGATTGAGTCCAGCTCTGCCTGCGAGAATCGACACCGGTCAATCCGACACTCTCCTTGCATTTGCACAGTCGAAGCCAAAAACAGTAATGAATTGATGCCGGCCGGGCAGCCCTGCTGTCAGGGTCTTGCAGGTGCGTGAAATGTTTTCTGGACATCTCGGCCAACTTCTTCTGGAAAGCAGGCGCAGAGAATGCCCCAAGGAGCTCTGCCTGAAAGGCCAGAGCCCGTGCCTTCGACAGAATTCTCTTCTCGGTCTGCGGTACGGGCAGCTCCTGCGAAACCTGTTGAGGCTTGTCATCAATGAAGAACTCCGCGGGCGAGGACTTCAAGCCTAGCAGCTTCCACAGCTTCTGCACCTTGTCTGCGAGGTCTGGAAATTTCTGGAAGATCAACACGATGGGCCGGAGGCGCTCCACACCAGTCCCGGACTTAAAGCCGTATCGAGCAAAGATGTCGGCATGGCACTCCTCCGCCAATGCCCAACGGCATGGCGATTCGTCGCAAACTTCACCTTGCTGGGCTTCCTTCTGCAACATGTCGCCCAGCTTGTTCTGGAAGCTCTTGGTAGAGTACTCGCCAACCAGCCTAAGAATCACACACAGGATACTATGCGGACAACTTTTTGTTTTTTTTGTGTAGCTCCTACGAAGCGCAGCAGTGAGTCGTGTTTCTCTGCCGGTCCGCAGAACGATCATGAACAACTTATGTTCTTCGCGGCACCATGAGGCATGAGATCATAAATGCATCAAATTTCGGGATGGCGGCTTATCTTCGCCCCACGCACAGATGTTAAACGGCTTGCATGCTACGTCCACGACTTGCTAGTGAAGACTAGAAGCCTGCATAAGCTTACACTCGTCGTTTGCAAGAACAGTAACGGCCCATCCGAAGGCCAAGGCTGCGAGTGCAACAGTAGAGCCAAGAGGCTCCATGAGCATCGCCTTTGCTCGTGCCCGCGTCATCTTCAGCACTTGTGTGTCTGCATCTCGACACTCAGCCATGGCGTCGCTCCGAAGAAAAGACTATGCCGACTATGCTATCAGGGCTGTGTTTAAGATGCCAGCCCTTGAGTGAAAGCGGCGAAAGGCGGAGGAAAAATCACAGCTGCGTTCTCGACACTTGGAGCTGTATTTCGTCAGGCAAACAAAGTCCTCGGCCCCTTGGTAAAAGGCGACGGAGGTCCGGCTACGATGGCTACGATGTTGCCACGTCTGACGTCAGAACGCGAGGTGTGAGTACTTCCAGGATTTTCTTCCATTACTGATGGCAAGACAGATGCTTCATGCCTGGCTTTTGCCCTGCATGCAATTCTCGGAATTTCGAAGCATTTCATTGCGAAGAAACTTCCGGGCGAGTCAGACCACATCAATGGGTGTCTATCTATTGTCGCTCTATCTCTCATATGGTTGAGTGCCTTTTTCGCGACCCCCGTGCTTTGGCGCCCCTTAAACATAGGGTCTTCGCAGAAGGCAGAAAATTTCAGCACTCAGAACAGCCAACCCACCAACTTTTCAATTATCTAGCTAGCTGTCTATCTATCTATTTATCTATCCATGCATCGATCCGTTGGATCGAAATGGAATGGCTCCAGCGGCCCGTCTGCTTGAAATCTGACCAAAGTTCGAATTACTATGGACGAAAGGACTGTCGACTAAAGCTCAAAGCAATTTGAGCGGCGCCGCTGGGATCCCCAAAGGTCCCCCGCAAGCTCCCGAGAATCTTCGAACGATGCTTTCTCTTCTTCTGCACAGCCAAAGAGGGAGGCGGTCCCCCCTCCTGCGCGCGGGCGCGCACTGGGTTCGTGTCTGCGGTGAGAGTTGGCTCCACGATGAGGCCGGCGTAAGAGAGCTGGTGACCCTCCGTCTAAAACCCTGTACACTAACGACCCCCGCCTCCCTCTCTCTCTCTCTCTCTCTCTCTCTCTCTGCCGTGCCATCCTCAAGATTCTAGGGTTTCGACTCTGACATTCGCACCAGGCAGGCACAAGGGTTCTAGGGTTTAGGGGTATCAGATGCATTGCATGTTGGCACTGTTGATCCTTGCTCCTCTCTCTACATTTTTTCTTGTCGTTCCTGGAACGACTTATGCATTGATGATTGCTCGCTCCTGCATCATCTTCATCTAGATGCCCGGGCGTTGAGCGGAGCGAACTCTGTTGCGGTTCAAGCTCTGACAGCAGCGCAGCAAAACGGCATAGCCGCTGCAGCCCATCAGGGACACTGTGCCCGTCTCTGCATGACACCGGTCAAGTTCGCGAGGAGTCTACGGCCAGGTGGCACGGACTTGGGCCGCAATGCTACACGAGCTCGCGAAAACCAAGTTCGATTAGCAAAATCTCCTGCTGGACGAAGTCCAATGATGAAGTTCGTCCAAATGCCGGTGTGAACATAGGGGGCATGGCCTCGGCACAAGTTGGTGCGGCTTCACTGCCAAATCTCTGGAGCGCTTCAAGCTTTCAAGGCCCTGGACTCCCCAAGGGCCACAGGTCATGTCCACGCTGCAGGCTTTGAAGAGCACCACCTGCCGAACAGCATGGAGTTGTACCGAAGGCCTCCGAAAGTTCTTACGACGTCTTCCGAGGTCCCAGCAATTGCGAGCGCGCAGTAGACAGCAATCCTGGCGCTGAGAACATGACGTCACTAAAGCGAAGAAAATCCCAATGAATGATCAGGCTGACCGGGGGTATGGCACCACTTCCTGAGCAACACATACCCCAAGGCTGAAGGAAATTCCGATACTACTGCAACCAGCGGAATCTGCAGAAGCAGCACACATACTGTGCCTCTTTACGGAATTTCCTGTAACCACCTAGTCTGTAAGCACACACTGCCAAGAATCACATTCGGAACTTTCGGATTCGAAGCACCTGCGCAGACACAGACATCTCCTGAAGCTGTGTTGCTGCTACGAAGCTGTGGCTCGCACATGGGAGCGATTGGTCCATCGGTCGTGGCACCTGGCGTCGGGAGCATTCCTAGCGGAACTGGTATGCGGCAACCAAGCTCGGCAGGTTCAGATTAGACCCTCATGGAGGATGCCACGCGATAACGACAACTGATACCAAGTCTTCTGCGTGCCAGGATTGGAGCTGCTGCTAACCTCGTCAGCAAGCAGGGCAGAAATGCTGAGCGATTCGATCGCTACCCCTCTAAGCCAGGCACACAAGCACAACTAGCCAGAACACTATCGTGCCAGCTTTCACCGAATTCTGGTCCTTGGTAGCTGCACGGTGCCAATCTCTGCGTCGCCACCATTCTGCCTCAAGGGAACGAAATGAGGGACGCACTGTCGTCCTGGCCTTGCGCTCGATGCGCCAAGCCTGGTACGTGGGAAGCAAAACTTGCTGTCAACGATCTGCGAGCTGTTGGCCAAGCTCCCGACAGCATGATTTGTTTGATCCTCCAGCCGTTGACGCACCTCGACACACAACTCAGCAGAAGGTTTCATCCAACTGAAGACATTGACTGCCACCTGCCTCCCCCACCGTCGGGCGGCTATCCCATGGAGGCTGGAAAGGCATGATGCTGTCGTACCATCTCCTCGCATCGGCAGGGGCTCTTTTCGCGGCCAGTCGCCGTCAAACAGTTATCTTTGGTCAGCCCATCACCAGTGCGACATCTTCCCACAGCAGTTACATGAGTCAAAACCTGTGCGCTTCCCGGCCCTCCTGGGGTATCGCTGCTTCAGGGTTTCTTCGCTGCCTGGGGATTTCTTGCGAACAGCATGCGTGTGTGTCGAAGCGATGCCATTCAACGATTCAAGGCCTTCTGCGTCTTGTGCTCTTTGAGCCTTCTGCCGCTGCATTTCTTGAAGACCTCACACAGCCGTCCGAGCAAAAAAAGAGAAGTCCGTGTTGAGAGGACGGACCGGTTGCAGGCTCCGCACGTGTACTCATCACATACGTGCTCACAACACGCTCCTCGGTCTGGCAACTAAGCTACTCCCTCTGCGATACTTATGCATCCTGAAACATCCTGAAACTGCAGGAGTGTCTTTCGGCAAAAAATGGCAAAAACTATCAATAAAGATCTCCGCTCTGGACTTTGCAGAACGCATGGCGCTCAGACTGCAAGTGGTCGCATGGCTAAGTACCGCTTGCAGATGCTGAGGAGTCTGCCCGCTGCTGCCGGACCTAGGATGGATGCAATACTTGCACAAGGAAACCACTGCACAAGCGTTTCAAAGCGAGATCGGGCCAAGGTGCTACTTCGGAGGCCGCCGCGTTGTCCTGCTCGCTTTCAAGCAGGCTCTGCTGCCTTGGCACCGCACAAACCAGCAGGCTCGTCTTGATCCAAGTAAGAGCACGGTAGTATTTTCTATGGGTTCCGTGCGCCTTCTCTTGCTGCTCCGCCTGAAGTGGCAAAATCTTGCGGGGTGTCACCAAAAACTATCTTGTTCCGATCTCGTCAAGTTTGCTCGTGAGCTTGTTGACTTGCAATGCTAAGGCTGCTGAGAAAAGCACGACCTTCTGGTAGTAAACATCATCCGAGGCATTGTTCCTGACCAGATCTTTCTCTGCAGGGCAGACACGAGAGGCCAGCGGCAAGGACCCGACCCGCTGCCAAACACCTCATACGAGCCAGGTGCAGGAGTTGCGGAAGCGGACCAAAGTTCTGTGCTACAAGGCGCCGGAGCACAGCCACTCCGATCCTTCGTCTGGGTTGCACCAACCTCAGGCACCAGGGCTGCCACACCGGATGCGAAGCAGAACAGCACTTGGAGCAGTACCGACGTGCCAGCCTCGCTCCCTGACAGTCCCAATCGGAGTAACGAACAGCTGGCACGGACATTGACATGCAGGACACCAACAGCCAACCTGATTGTAGGGAGAGTGCCATCGGATCTCAACTTGACGGCTCAGCCTCATGCCACACAGCGTTGCTTTATGATTGCCGCTTGCCCAGGCCGGCCTGCTGCGTTTCGCTCAGGTCTGGCCCAACCTCGGACACTTCTCGTGAAGAAGGGCCGGTATTGGGCTGAGCATACTGGCCACAATCTCTCAAAGACCCTGACGGAAGCACTCCATTCAAGGGAAAATCAACCCCACGCAGTCTTTAGTTTGAGCCCACGACATACCAGCAAAATCCGGCAAACAACAATTGCCAGTGCAGCACAGCTGTTGCCGCAGGACTGGACTATGCATCCTTGTTTCCGAACGGAGCTACTCTCGGCGAGAATCTCTTGATGGCTTGGTGGCCCCCTACGGCTCTGTACAGCCATCACTCTTGAAAAAAGTGGACGTTCAATGAAGTGCTGCCTGCAAGCCTTGCTTCTTCGGCAAATGAAAAACAATCCGTCATGCTGCCGGGGCCACAAAGCCACGTTCCTTTAATATCGTCTCCGCAACCGCAATGTCTTCGGGGGTTGTAACTTTGATGTTTGTGTACTCGCCTTCGGTCAGCTTGACTTTTTCGCCCAGCTGTTCCACTAAGGAGACATCATCAGTCACATCCAAGCCCTCCTTCTCCGCCTTTTCAAACCCTTTGCGTAACAATTCGCTTCGAATCACTTGTGGCGTGTGGGCTTCCCACAGTAGCTTCCGCTTTGGAGTGCTCTCAACAAAGGTGTCCGACTCACCAACAGCCTGCTTGATCGTAGCTTTAGTCCGGACTGCAAGTAAAGCCGTGCCATGTTCTCGAGCATCCGCAACCACTCTTTCCACCTCCTCCTTCGTGACGAGAGGACGTGCTCCATCATGTATCGCTACAATCGGTGCATCAATTTTTGCAACACCGTTGTTGACGGAATCTTGACGTTCTTTGCCTCCTGTTGTGAACTTCACATCAACTTCAGTTGGACCCACCTTCTCCAAATGGTCTTTGAAAATGTGTTGCCATTCTTCCGCACAAACAATTACTATCTCTGCAACATCACAGGCCAAGAATGTGTCCAACGAGTGCAAGGCAATCTCCAAGCCCATCAATTTGATGTACTGCTTTGGGATGCTGGCGCCCATACGCTTTCCAACACCAGCAGACAACAACACTACACCAACATCACTGCCAGCCGCCCGGCAGATTGTTTGTGAGTTTAACCTTCCACTCCTTCGATGGCGAGCTTGGTTTGACGTGCTCCTTCTGCCATTCAACGCAGCAAACACTCCACATATCGCAATGCCAGATGCTTTCCAGTCGGCCGAAAATTTGGCGATCGACGGACATGTTTTGCCGCGTGTGGGTGCTGGTGCAAGGCCAACACGCTTCACGTCTGCCACCTGACTACAAACGAAAGACATAGGCAAATTCTTCCAAGACCGCTCTGTGCTCACACTTCCAAGCAATAACATCCACAAACTGTAGCAGCTGCAGCCGCAGAAGCATACCGCAACAAAGCGATTCATGGCGGTCCGGATGTTTCGAGTGAGTCTTGCCCTGAGCCCAATGACAGCGCCAGCATCTGCCTCATGCCAACTCCTAACCCAAATTTCGCAAAACAACATTTCTCACTGTGGTCGTCTCTGGAAAACTTGCTCAACACAACACGGCAAGCCCTTGCAGCAACTTCATGAGTTTGACAATGCGTAAATTTACAAGTCGCATCGGGCTTGTGGGCGGAAGCTCTGACGTGCGAACAGGGTCACCAATAGCGACCCGTTTGCCCGGACAAAGCTATCTGCTGGCCCATTGCAAACTGACTTGTCCATGTCTTGGTGGCTGACAACTGAAATCGCAAACTGCCAGGGACGCCCCCGCATTATTGTGGAGCGTAATATTGTTATTTTGGTTAATGGCCGTCTTGCGGCTGGGTGTCCGTGGTCCCGGTGCAGCAACACTACACTTTGTGTTAATGAGGCCAGTGTCCTCCATGCTGCAGCACAGGGCAGGGGGAGACGGCTAACAAATGGTTGGTTAACGCGAGGCGAGGACAGGATGTCGAACTTTCACGCCGTTCCTTTCGGGAGTTCCGCGGGGAGCCACGAGCCGATCTTGGGGCGGACCTTCCTGCTCGAAACTTTGGAACTTGCAAGCCTTTGAAATTGCGATCCTTTTTCGAACTTTCATCCGAAAATATCCGAAACACAAAAAGTCGGACGGCTCAAGCTCCAAACTTTCGTGTTTGCATTTTTACAATTGCCTTTTCCCAAAATCCACCAGCACGGGCACAGAGCCCCCTGTTCAAGCTGCCGCCTGCCGCGTACCGAAGGTGCCGGAGCCGAACGAACCGGCAAGTTGCTCGTCATAGGTGCACAGCATGCAGCACTTCTTCGATTCGAGGACACGCTCAGGAAGCCCTGACTAATGCCAGGGTCAGCCAGGCTGCAGGCACGCGATCCCGCCCAAACGGGCCAGCTGATCCCCGCCTGCATGCAACACTTGTGTGCTGTGTGGATGACAGCCCGGGTTCTCTTGGCACGCCGGAAGCCCAGCAGAAATGCAGAACTCTGCGGACGATCCCTGTATGCATTTTTTTCTTTTGCTGGATGTGGGGATGCCAGCTGCATTAAGCCGACGGCATCAATTAAATAGATTTCATGCTGTCCATCTTAAGGCCCTCCCGCCGGGTTTCGAGGTGGAGGTCAATTGACATATATGAAAAGGCGGTACAGTACCGGAAGAAACCCCTAGAGGCTCCCTCGAGCGAATTAAAGTCGACTTTGCTTGATTTGGAAAATGTACGAGTTACATGCACATTGTTCTCCCACTCATGACGAGCCCTCGTCAAGCAAGATCGATCCAACTTTTTGTGTGGCTCATCCGGATGGGCAAAGCAAGAATTAGCCACACCCATCGTCGGTGCACATGCGCGCAGGGCAAAAGTCGTTGCATGCCTGGGTCCGTGTGGCACGCGAAGCCATCCTGCCCGCAGGGCAGGTTTGTGGGCCGGTCGTTCCGCAGCAGTGGCGCACGATGGTTCAGCTCTCACGCACACGACTGCACGGGTTGTCGAGGGGCACTGTGTTGCGACGCGACTTTAGTCCTTCCCGTGTCACGAGATGGCCAGCCGCAAGAGCACTCAGAGGATGAAGACGGAGCAGCGTGTTCCTTCCGTTTCCGTCGCAAAATGTACCTGGAGCTGCTGCGCACCGGTCCCCAGTGCCTCGTCGTACTCGGATCATAAGCGGGGGGCCGCAGGGGCAGGGAGCCCTGGCTCTCGTTCGCCTCCGCCGGCTGCGCGCCCACCCGCTCTCCATCGCTCTCCGCAATGCCGCGGCCACCACCTGGTCTCGGCGCTGCTGGGCACAGTTGTCGGTCGCGGCCGCATGTGAAGCCCATAAAGCCAAGTGGCGCGAATGCACCAGTGACCGGATGGCATTGACACCTCGGCATGTGTCAAGGCTTCAGCCTGAGACACCTTTCCATTGCCGGGCAGCTAGCGTCACGAGCGCTGCCCGGCCGTGCCCGCTGCCACCGCATGCAGCCCGTGGCCAAGGCCGACAAAGAATCGAGCCGCTTGCCCCTGCACCCAGCGCTGTAGCAGGTGCACGCGGCCAGGCCAGACGTAGAACCCACCAACCAGACAGGAAGTGGGCAGGGGAAGGGCTCGAAGACTTAAAATCCGCCGAGGCCTCCGGCCCAGGCGTCTTGGGGGTTACCTCAAGAACCCTCCACCTAATCCTCCGCCGAAGTGGTTGGACCCATGCCCCCCCCACCCCCCCGCTTCGCTCCATTGGAGTCAAACGGATAACCTAGGAATGCAACAAACCATAAACATATCTTCTCCTACTGACTTCGATTACTGCCGCAGCATCCAGTTCTTCGGTGCAGTCAAACCGCTCGTCTCTCCCCTAGCAGCCGAGGCGGGCAGCGTAGCGTTAAAAT